AATGACTGAGCCACCCAGGTGCCCCTGTTGTTTTTTTTATACACTACTAAAGTTCCATCTGTACTTGGGTCTGTTTTGACTTTCTGTATTACCACACTGGTTTGTCTGTCTACTCTTGGGCCAGCAACACACTTTTCATTATAGAGTCTTTAGAGTATAATTTAATGTCTGGAAGGGCTAGTCCTCTGCTCTAGCATTTTAGTGTTTTCCTGACTGTTCTTGCACATGTATTTTTAATATGAAGTTCAGTTTCAGTTGCTAGCTTCATTAAAAAGAATTGTTGGTATTGCAACAATTATATTGTTGGGGATTGCATTAAATTTATAAATTAATTTACAGCAACTTGACATTTTTGATGTTGACTTGTTCTATGCCAAAATAAGAAACGTCTTTTTAAAAAAAATATCGTATTTATTTATTTGAGAGAGAGAGAGCACGAGCAGGGAGAGAGGCAGTGGGGGAAGTAGATTTCCCTGCTGAGCTGGGAGCCTACCGCCCTGCTCCATTCCAGGACCCTGGGATCATGACCTGAGCCCAAGACAGACGTTTAACCCACTGAGCCACCCAGGCGCTGAAAGAAGTTGTTTTTTTGTTTGTTTGTTTGTTTGTTTTTAAGTAGTTTCCACACCTACTGTGGAGCCCAATATGGGGCTTGAAGTCACGACCATGAGATCGAGACCTGAGATGAGGTCAAGATGCTTCACTGACTGAGCCACCCAGGTGCCCCTAAACAAAATGTTCTGTTCTATGTGTGCATTAATGTGGAGGATATAAAGATAGCAAAGCTATGATTTCTACCTCAAATAACTTAAATACAGTTTTGGAAATAGGTATATGTTTATTTACATGCGTTAAAAAAATAGAAACATTCCTTTGATAGGTGGACTTTGAATTGAACCTAAAAGGAAGTGTTGAATGTAGTTTCGTAGAGAGAACCAGGGACATTTCAAGTGGTCATTGCTCAGGCGAAAGTAGAAGCAAGATTTTGCTGTATCACGTGAGGTCAGTGAGATCACCAGCCTCAGACTGAAGCAGTGTGTTTGTATCCAGAAGTAAAGTGGGGGCGGTTGGGGGAAGGCCTTGAGTGGCCAGGGTTTGGATTTGAGCCACTCAGCAGCAGAGGCCTCCTGAATTGGTAATCTATTGCCGTGTAACAAATTACCCCTAACGTTCGTGGCTTAGGGCGCTGGTAAACATTTATTATCTCTAACAGTTTCTGTGCATGTGGGATTTGGGAGCAGGAAGGACTGTTGCCTCCTTGGCAGTCCTTAGAAGTGAACCAGTAAATTCAGCCCACATTCAGGGCTAGGTTCCATGCTTCAAGGGGAGGAGTGTTGGAGAACCTGGGAACACACTTGAAAGCCTGTGTTGGGAACAGAGGGGCAGTGGCATGATTTTGAAAAGGAAAAAGACCACGGTATCTAGAGGAAGGTTCATTTGGTGGCAGCGTCAAAGATGAAGAAAGGGAGGAATCACGGGTAGATGGGAGTGAAGTAATCCAGCAGTAAGGTACAGGTGAGGGAGAAGCAGGACACATGCGAGGGCCGAGAGAGGTTGGTGGGAGTCAAGGTGGCCCCAGGGCTTTCAGAGCTGCATAAAGATCCGGTGCAGTAACCGGAAAGAGAAGCCAGTTTTAAGGGGATTAGGGTACTTGTTTGGTTTTAGACACTCAAGGGGAAATTCCTAAGCAGTTGAGAGTTGGATAGAACCAGGGCTCATGTTGAGACATCCAGCCGAAGGGGGAGAGTTCCGATCTGTCACCGCAGACGTCATGGTTGAATTTCTCAAGGGATGAGGACACAGAAAGGCCAGAGCATTGGGACCCAGCCCCGGGGGGAGCCATGGTTCGGGGTACAGTCAGCAAGAGGAGCCAGATCTGCAGCATTAGAGCGAGAGGTGAGCCAGCTGTGTTCCTGGCAGCAGCGAAAAAGGTGGAGGATCAAGAGCTTCAGATGTTGCAGAATCTGAAGAGAATGATGTTTGAAATGAATGCATTTGCCTGTGAGATTATTAGAGGTGACAGCAGTTTAAGTGGAGTAGAACAATTTTGGAAATTGGATTATAACATTTAATTCGATGATTAACTTTTTAAAAAGTGCTCGAGGTGGGAGGATGAGTGGCTGGCTTGCCTTTAGATTTTGAGATCTTACCTCCTTCTTGCCTCCTTTTAGCACCGTCAAGCCTCCCTGGAATGGTACTCATCAGATCGTGGATTGAGGGATGAAGGAGGATTTTACCTCACTTGTTTTCAGAGACTCTTTTAACTGTAAGTGAAGTCGGCTTACTTTATCATCCTTTTGCTTCACATCCTGCTTTTAACTATTCTCACCTGTGCCCTCCCCCCCCCCCTTCCTTGCCCTTCCTTCTCCTTCCCCTGGTTTGTATGACTTTCAGGATCAGTTCCCAGACTGAGGATCACCCGCTTTTCCTCTCCCTTACCCCCCAACTTTAAGAGCAATTCTACTACTCATGTTTTGTTAACTGAACTTGCGGGGATGCAGTTAATGCCTATGAGATATGATTAAAATTAGTAATTGACAAATGTCAGTACTAAATTGAAAAGGATTTAGTGTTCCTTGTTATTATGTGTCTGTCCATGTGTACAGTCAGTTTTCAAATTAGTAAAATAAGTGTTGGTAAAAGGGAGCAAAAACATGAAAATATTCTTAGAGTTACTTCATGTGACGTAGTATATTTCAAGATTTCTGTAAGGATTTGAGATTAAATAGACCAAGAAATTGCATAGTGAAACACTGACAAAGCCAGAAAAAGGAAATCTGAGTTTTCTCTGTTACATGATATGATGATTATTATTTTCTTATTTTTTTCTGATCGTGTTGTTTTTCTTTTAAGAAAAACTTTGGTTTCACTAAAGACTTCAAGAAACTAAACAGAATAGCAATAATAAGTATCATTTCAAATCAAAGAGTAGACTTTCTTGCTGTGAGAAAAAGAACTATTATTGATAAGTTCTACTTAGCAAAAAAGGTAAGATTGCTCTCAGTCACATCATCTTTGAATAAATAGGGCAGCATTGAGTAATGCAGCCTGGCTCTGCAGAATGCATAGAAGGTGAGCATGGGAGAGACGAAGAGGGCGCGGGGGACGGTGAGCTCAAGTCGCAGGAGTGAGGGGAGTCTGAGAGATGCTGGTGTGGAGCATGGGTAACAAGTGGCTGTTGGAGGCACGAACAGAGAAGCACTGCTGTGAAGGTTCTTTCGTGACTTTTTTTTAAGATTTTATTTTTGGGGCGACTGGGTGGCTCAGTCGGTTAAGCATCTGCCTTTGGCTCAGGTCATGATCTCAGGGTCCTGGGATCGAGTCCTGCATTGGGCTCTCTGCTCAGCGGGGAGCCTGCTTCTCCCTCTCGCTCTCCCTCTGTGCTCTCTCTTTCTCTCTCTCTCTCAAATAAATAAATAAAATCTTAAAAAGAGATTTTATTTTTAAGTAATCTCTACACCCAACATGGGGCTCGAACTCACAACCCTGAGACCAAGAGTCGCTGGCTCCAACGACTGAGCCAACCAGGCGCCGCTTGTGAATTTTATTACACCTATTAAGCTTTTCCTGTGTGTCAGTGGGAGTGAGAGAGAGGGTCAGAAAAAAAAAAAAAGGGAGTGAGAAGGGGGTGTCAAGAGACCAAAGATTGTGTTGTTTGTCTTCACAGTTAAAGGTCTGGATATATTTGCAGTATGTCGTGATTCTTAGTACTTGTGCTTGGGCAGTTGTCAAAAAGTTAATGTGGTTAATTGGTCGAGTTTCCTTTTCCTGTCTCCCACCCACCCTACCCCCTCCTCTTTCCCTTATCTTCTCTGAGAGTCCCTTCAGGCGCCGTCAGTCCTAGAAGCTTCCTTCAGTGGCTGCTTCCATTCCCAGTGCCCAACACTGGCTGGGCTGATTCTCCTCCCCCAAGCCCCTCCGTCTCCAGGACGTCTTGGGAATCACTCCACCACTCGGCTTCTGCAGCATGTTGTGTGCAAGCCTGTTGATGTGTTTGTTTTCTTTACTAGACTGCGAGCTGCTTAGTGGGAGGCGTCAAGTCTCACTCACCTGTGTATCCCCACATCTCGTACGTGGTAGTTGAACGGACAGAGGAATGATTTTCCCATGCCTTGTAGACACACTCACCACCGGCTGTCAGTGTGGCAGTGACATCGCTGAGCTTTGATGGTTGGGAGATCCGTGACCATAGAGATAGACCACCTGAGCCTTACAGAAATCAGGGAGGGCTGAAAAATAAGTAAGCTGGAGTTCCTGATGTAGGGGTGCTCTGCCGAGAAGGTTTCAGGGATGGCTGGGAGCAGGAAACAAATCTTGCAGTGCTGTTTGGGGGGTGTCCCGGGAGAGGCCTCAGGTGCAGGCTGCTCTGGAAGCGTGTCATTAATGCAGCCTGGGCAGGTCCTGGGGAGACTGGCATTTGGCTTGGGTCTCTGAGTATGTAGTTGCTCATCATGTGGAAAAGGAGGAGCATGTGCCAAGCTGTAGAGGTGTGAGGGGCATTTTCTGAAGTTCCTGGGAGTTGGGGAATGGGAACGTGGCGGGAAGTGGGAGCAGGAGGAGCCTGCGTAACGCTAGTGTAGCCGGCCCTTACCCTGTTGGCTGTGGGGAGCCAGTGAAGGCGGCAAAGTCAGAAGAATGGCACAGATGCCCTTTTTTGTTTTATTTTATTTTATTTATTTTCTTAAGTAGGCTCCATTACTAGTGTGGAGCACAACACAAGGCTTGAAACTCACGACCGTGAGATCAAGACCTGAGCTGAGATCAGGAGTCGGACGCCTAACTGATTAAGCCCCCCCCACCAGTACCCCCCAGATTCACATTTTAGAAAAATGCCTGGCAGCAGCCTGAAAATCGCCCTGGAAGGGAAGAACTAAAGCGAATACATTGGTGTTAGGAAACAGGTGCTGGGCGCCTGGGTGGCTCAGTCGGTTAGGCGACTGCCTTCGGCTCAGGTCATGATCCTGGAGTCCCTGGATCGAGTCCCGCGTCGGGCTCCCTGCTCGGC